CCTGTGTGCATTTTGTGGTCTTTGACCATTGTACCCCTCTCTCCCTCATGTTTCGCCCCTAGACTATAAGTACCCCCCACCTAGCTCATCTAGAGGATAGCAAAGTATATGAGAGACATGAGTGAGCTTCGCTCCTTGTACCCACTCCTCTAGGAGATCAAGACCTCCTAGGAGAAGATCCCTAGTGGATATCAAGCCCCCATCTTGGTAAGGATCCCCATCATAGGATCATCAAGACCTCTCTCCTCATAGGATTGGGATGAACTAGTACCTTGTATTTTTCCTTTGTTGTCCTTGGATTCATTGTGACCTCTTGTGTGTTCTTGGATCTAGCATATGTGTGACTGGATCTAGTCAATTTGAGTGTTTCCCCTCTCTTTGTGTTCTTCGTGTTCTTGGGGATTTCCCCTCCAATTCGTGAAAGATCTCCACATAGAGTTCCACCCTGCAACAGGTTGGGATGGAGAGGATTAGGGTTTTTGTCCCAAAATGGCGGTGTGTGTGTGTACCATATATAGCAGGGCTTATGTGCGGGTTTGGGCTGGAATTTAGAGGGCAAATTTAGGTGGGCTTTTGGGCATCGGAATGTGTGTGTGTGTGTGTGTGTGTGTGTGAGTGAGTGAGAGAGAGAGAGAGAAGTTAAAAGCCCGGTAGCAAGTTCATTTAGTAAATTCATCTATTTAAACCAGCTAATATCCTTTGCATATTTAACGGTTCAGGTGTCAAATGGACTCTGTTTCGAATGAAATTTGAAACGTAGCCTCACTAGACAATTTTGAGACCGCACAAATCATCTCGACTATAACGGCGACCGTCTGGCATATATTCACAAAATATCACAACGAGGTCGTGTCCGATGATTCAGGGTTAAGTCTTTCATCCGATACTAGGGAAGAGAGAAGGGGTTTATTTATTCACCATATAACAAAATGGCAAAAATAAACTATCCAAGTTAATTGTTTAGTTGATAAAAACAATGTTTGATTTGGAGAAAGTTCGAGGGTGTTACACAAATAAAAGAAGTGGCCTTCCGTACAAACAATTTACCACGGGCGAAAAGCAGTTGCCACAAGATCGCCTAGAACAGGTCCATGACACTCGAAGGTTAGAGGTCTGCATCACGGATTCATCTTCAGCTGAGTTTTTTCACATCTCAAGACTCCATAGCATGGAGGCACATGGTTTAGCCCAGCCAGCACTCCTCCACACAACAGTCCAGCCAGTTGAAGTCTCTTGCAACAATGCAGATCATCCTGAGGACAATTGATTGCCCTTTGAAGCTGTTGTGCCTGGACATGCAACTACAGGGTATCGTATGTAACTGTCACTGTAAACTGTTTGCGGTATGAATGAATTGGCGCCTTTGCTTGTTCAAGGAAAAAAAATGGGAAAAAGTGCATGCGTTGCTTTCAGCAATCGCTGGGCTGGAAAGCCACCACACGACACAAGTGGACGCGCGCAAGAAACAGGAGCCGCTTCTCCGCCGCTTTGGCTTTCCCTTGCGTGCGCGGCGCGACCGCACCGCCGCCGTACCGGGGAAGAATCTCTATCCAGACCGGTTCCGTGCGCACACGGTTTGCGGTTCCGGCCCCGGCTCTCCCTCTCTCGGCCCCCTTCCTTCACGCAACATTTCTCTCTCGCCCGGTCGCCCCACCCGCTGTTCCACCAGTTACTACTACTGACAGACGCAGCCAGCGCGGGTTCCACAATCCGATCCCCCTCACAACCGCATTTTTTTTAGCGGCAGCGGAATTTAACTCGCCTCTCCCGCCGCCGCCCGTCCGCAGCCCAATGGACCTCCCCGTGGTGGATCTCGCGCCCTTCCTGCAGGCCGCCGCCGGCGACGCCGCGCCGGCCGAGGCGGAGGAAGCGCTGCGCGCGCTCTGCGCCACGGTGAGCGCCAGCCTGCGGGACACGGGGGCGCTGCTGGTCAAGGACCCCCGCTGCACCGCCGCCGACAACGACCGCTTCCTCGACGTCGTCGAGCGCTACTTCGCCCGATCCGACGACTCCAAGCGCCTCCAGGAGCGCCCCCACCTCCACTACCAGGTACTACTAAATGATTCCGTTTGATGGAAGCGGTAGCCTCCGCATCCCCCCGCTTCCCCGGCGAATTATGGTGTCCGATTAGGTGGGGACGGAGGCTAGGGTTCGGACGAAATTAAGTTCGACATTCTAGGATCAGTAGCAGTACTTGTTCCCGGTTCAAGTTCTCTGATATGATCCTCTGCATTATAAAATCACCATCAAATTCAGGCACATAAGATTGATACATCCAACAGTTACGCTGAATGTTTGATGCCTTAAGTTACCCCATTTGCAATGATGGATTTTGATCCTGTTTATATGATAAGGTCGGCGTGACACCTGAAGGCGTGGAGGTGCCTCGCAGCCTCGTCGACAAGGAGATGCAAGACAGGATCAAGAGTATGCCAGAGGAGTTTCAACCAGCCACCCCTAAGGGACCAGACCCGAAATGGCGCTACATGTGGAGAGTGGGTCCTCGCCCGTCGAATACCCGCTTTAAGGTGGCCATTTCTACATGATCTCTTCAGTGTGATGTGGAAGTCTGAATGAATTCCACGCTTCACGTCTAGCCACTATTTGCGCGTTATATGCTGAATTGTGAGCAATTTTTGTGTAGGAGCTGAACGCAGAACCTGTTATTCCTGATGGATTACCGGAGTGGAAAGAGACAATGGATTCCTGGGGTGCAAAAATGATTTCTGCAATTGAGGTACATATCCAGTCCACACTTTTTCTAAGTTGATGTTTTCTGCAGTTTATACATGGCAAGTCTATATTATACAATATTCAGAAGTTGGTTGGACACACTTCTTTTGTAGGTTGTTGCTGAGATGGCAGCAATTGGATTTGGCTTGTCAAAGGATGCATTTACCTCTTTGATGAAGGAGGTAATGTTATAATTCTCAGCACGCTCACTCGTTCTGTTATAATTCTTAAATTTATCTGAAATGAATGTTCTTAAAACAGTGCCGCGTTCCAGCTATTAGTAAAATTTCAATGCCTTAGTTGGTTTAAAGGTGTGGTATGGGATCTTCTGATTTTTCAGTCGTGCAATCCAGCATTTTGAGTACTAGAAGTGTTCTTCTAAAAAGAAGTATTATTCATGTTCTTTTAAAAAGAAGTATTATTCATGTTGAAGTTCTTTGATCATCCTATTGACACTGCTCAATTATTCTCGTGTTTCAATAGGGACCGCACCTCCTAGCACCAACCGGAAGTAATCTGATGCGTCACGGTTCTGAGGGCACTGTGTTTGCTGGGTTCCATTATGATCTTAATTTCTTGACCATTCATGGTCGTAGTAGATTTCCAGGCCTGAACATTTGGTTAAGTAATGGTAAAAAGATGGAGGTGAAGGTCCCTGTTGGCTGTCTTCTCATTCAGTCAGGGAAACAGGTTAGTTCTGCCATTTTCACTGGATGCATTTTCAATTGTTCTGCACTCCTAGTTTGATGAAATGATACTTATGCATATTGTCTTTAATATTTTGTTCTTATATACAAGTACTGTTTTTTCTGAAATAGTTGATTTTGTCATCTTGAAATCAAACTTTAGTTTCATATCTGAGTCTTTCCTGAAATATTACACACTTGCATGTAAGGATCTATAAATACTTGTATGGAAATGTTAGGCAAATGAGAGCTGGGCAGTATTTCCAGGGTGCTGGGTGTGGCAGCGAAGCACGTGCACACGCTCGCCTCATTTGGTTCATAGGATAGGAATTTTATAGGAATAGGAAAATCATAGGAAGTGAGATGACATGCATCTTAATTCCTATATAGAAGAGATGCCATTTGATGCATAGGATAGGAATTTTTCCATTGAGTCTAGGCTAATGATTTTTTCCCTCCAAAATGTGAAGGATTGATTCCTATCCTATATAGGAATAGGAATCCATTCCTACAAACCAAAGGGCTTCAAAGGAATTTTTCCTTTGCAAATCCTATCCTATAGAGTTCCTACAAAATTCCTACAAACCAAAGGAGGCCTAAAAGGATACACCTCACTATTTTTATGTGCTCCTTTTCTGTACAGTTGGAATGGCTTACTGGTGGCGAATGTTTAGCTGGAATGCATGAGGTAGTGGTGACCAAGAGAACATTAGAGGCAATAGAACTAGCTAAAGAGCAGAACCGAAGCTTGTGGAGGATCTCATCGACGGTAAGTACTCTCAGTTCCCACCATATGTCTGCTAACCTCGTCACGGTTTCCACAATCCTATGTGCTCTGCCGAGTTATTGACTAACCGATTTCTATGTATGTCCAAACAGCTATTCTCGCACATTGCTTCCGATGCGACACTCAAGCCATTGGGCCACTTTGCTGAAGCACCCAATGCTCATAGTTATCCGCCTATATGTGCCGGGGAGTATGTTGAGCAAGAGCTCTCGGCGATCAATCTGAAAGGGAAGGTTGCACTCTAGGCGTACACAGACCGCCGATTAATCTGGTGACTCGTTAATCCCCCTTCTGTGGTCAGAACGCGAATTGCGATAATCCAAGCTGATACTTGTATCTTCATTCAACTTTGTTGACATACCGAGGTTGCGCCGGTCTATTTCCGACACAACCCTATCTATGTCCATGCTAAGTATATGTCCATTTGATCCCCCTGTTAAGTTATAGTGGATGCTCATGCTCTGGTGTACTGAACTGATAGCACCTGTGAAAATTAAATAATAGTGGTACTGTTATTCTCGAACCGAAGTGTACTGAACTGATATCAGGGTTGCTGTCTACGAAAATCATCCTTGCAATCCGTTTTGCAACCGATAAATCTGTTCTGAGCTGAAACATCAAACGCACAGCACTAGTAACACTATTTTAGGGGTCAAAATTATAGTCCACTCCACTCTGCGCAGTAAGCTGTGACACTGCAAAGCGTTGTTTCTTCTCATCACAAACCGGCTAATTGAGATGCACATATGTACAGTACAGCGGCCACGCACGTAGTCAAGGCGTTTCATCAGACTTCAGACCCAGTTGTTGGGCAGCGAGAAGTTGTGGAACCTGAAGGAGGCGTCCCCTGCGGTGTCCCTCCCCTGCACCATCCCCGGCTCGCCGTCGGGCTGCGGCGGCTGGTCGACCCACGAGAAGGAGTTCTGCCGCAGCAGCTCGGCAAACGCCGGGGACGGCTGCGGCGTCGGGCAGGGCGCCCCCTGCGGCCGGTTCGGCGCGTCGGTGCCGAAGTCCCACATGAGGACGTGGAGCAGGATGGGGCGCAGGGCGTGCCGGTGCAGGGACAGCTTCTGGCTGAGCGACACGGTGTCGAAGCACCGGATGGCCCCGGAGGTGGACACCATCCACGGCAGCACCTTGCGGCACGACACCCGGGAGATGACCAGCAGCTTGGACGCGCGCTTCGCCTCCCGGTAGAGGTCCCGCAGCCCTGACCGCGTCGACGGCGCCGGCCGGTCGCCGTCGTCTTCCATGACCGACGAGATGTAGAGGAAGCCCTGCACCCCATTCCCATTTCCAAGAGCGAATCAGTTCAAACGCGCACTAGAGCTAGAAGTAGAGACATACAGAGACAGACATTCCTCCGGCATTGCTACCTCTTCGGTGCGACTGATGGCGAAGCCGAGCTTGGTGTCGCCCTCCTCGAGGATGATCTCCACGGGCATTTCTCCGGCGGCCGCTGTGAACCAGAGGCGCACCGCCTTCACCACGCCGATGTCCACGCCGTGGTAGTCCTCGAACCCGTACAGGCTCGCGTTGGCAAGGTTCGGGAGGTCGGCCAGTGACCCGGAGTTGACCGTCGCTGAGGCCATGTCGCCGGAGATCTGCACCATGCATGCGAGAACGTCAGAAAAACACCAAAAACATCCCCCACATAATCATTCTGATGGCAAAATATAGTATAAGGAACCTTGGTGAGGAGGGCCTCGGTCTGGACGTTGAGGAAGGCGATGGGCACGCCGGCGGCCTGCGAGGAGAGGAACCAGGCGTTGGCGCGGGCCAGCGTGTCGTCGACGGAGTTGTAGCGGGAGTTGGCGCGGTCGAGCGCGGTGGGGAGGACGAGCAGGGAGAGGAAGCTGCTGGAGCTGGGCACCGGCAGCACCTCCTTCATCTTCTTCTCCCACGGGTAGGACACGTAGCCGTCCTGCAGCTGCGCCTTGCTCAGCGCGCACACCACCCGAGAGCTCCTCGACCCTGCATGCATGCACCACCGCCGCCGCCGTCGTGAGCGAGCGATCAACGTCGGCCATGACGTAATAACATTACGATATTTATCGAACAGCTGATCGTGTTTCAGTTCTTTATTTGAGCATCTGGAGATGACAGTAGATTTGTAGATTCTTTATTTGATCATCAGGAGATGGCATTAGATTTGCAGAGGAGTCTCAAGCTCGAACCAAGGCGTCTGCACGATCTGCAACCATGTGCGAGTTTTTTTTTACTTATTACTCCTAGTGCGAACAAGCTGGACGCGACATCATCGACCTAGGAGGTATAAAGTCAACCGGTGAATCTCCGAACCGCATTATGATCTCAGAGGAACATTGCCATTGAATACTAAATCCGCAAGTGGACGCCGTTGCCGTGTATGAATGATTGAATCCAAATGCAGATTCCATTCAACGTGCACCGCCGTGTCTGCTGCCTGGAAGTACGGGCATGCGACTAGAGCTAGACTGATGATTCGATGTTTGGTAAGATCTGGCTAAGCATGGGTGCATACGTACCGTATACCTACCCGGCCGGCTAAATGGAAAATAGGGACCTAAACTCTTATACGGGTAGAAGGAACATATTGGCCGTGAAGTTCATTTTCCCTTAAGTACGTTGCACATCATAACAAATTGCTGTTTCACATACTGCCAATATTTAGAAGTAGCATATTAGCATTAAAAAGGCAGTAGATGTATTTATATATCATAGCATATCTGTGGACTGCAAACAGCTCTATATATAAGTTGGCCAGGCCAAATTACCAGTCCAAAAAACTGGAAACGAAAGCAGCCTAAAACACAACAAGAACAACAATGCTATCAGCAGCTAGCTCTTTCCCGTTATATACGTAGGAATATCCCGATCACATTTCCTAACTAAAGTACTAAACACGATGACCGTACCACGGAAGTGACCATATTTTACAACTGATCCAAGCATATGCCTTGGCGTGCAAACAAAACCAGCCCTTGTGAGTGATCGAGCACGCCAAATCATCTTCACTAGGCGGCCAAAACTGATCCAAGCATATGCCTCGGCGCATCAGCATGCAGCCGAAACCAGTCTTGTGGATGATCGAGCGCGCCAAAAAGAATTCTATCGCGATCGATCGGGAGAGAAAACGATAAAGATGGTGTCCGGTGCCGCCTGTCAAAGTACACCAACCTGTGCGCGAAAGTCGCATGCAGCGGGAACGCGCGCATGCACGCATCATCGGCGCCCTATCCTTTTTCTCAAGTCCAACCCGGCATGTAGCGAAAACTCAGTCGAAGACTTTTACTTTTCTTCGCTAACTAACGCAATCGCAAGCAAAAAATCGAACAAGTTGAATCGGAAATAAAGATCTGCGGAGGTTCTAGAAAATATCTGCGGATTGGATGATGGCGGAAACGCGGCGGTGCCGTGCGGCTGCTGTTTACCTCGGAAGGCGACGCACTCGCTCTCGCTGCGGTCGACGAGCCCGACGGCGTAGTTGGGGTCGCGGATGGACCGGAGCACGTACTTCTGGCTGCGCCCCACCATCGCCATCCCGCCGCCGCCGCCGGTTGTCTCCTGCGGCACGATGCAGGCCTGCATCCTGGCGGCCGCCGCGTCCGAGCCGGGGCCCAGCAGCTCGCCGCTGCTGTCCACCTCCCCCGGCACCAGCTGCTGCTGCGCGTGCGCGGGGCGCCGCACGCGCACCTCCACGGACGTGTCCCCGCGCTTGTAGGCGGCGTGCAGCAGCTTCTGCAGCGCGGCGCGGCCGCCCTTGAAGGGCGCGGCGTGCACGGCCGGCCCGCCGCGGCCGCCGACCCCGATGAGGAGCTCCTCCACGACGTCGCCGGTCTGCACCGTCTCGGTGCAGCCCGTGCCCCACTCCTCCGCCCGCGACCCGCCCGCCACGCACTCGATCGCCACCACCCCGCCCTGCTGCCTCTTCCCGTAGTCCATGGGCATAATAGGAGGCCTCTCGCTTTCTCCCTCCTACTCCCTCGCGCAGCAGCAGCTAGCTCGCGAAAATGAACCAGCCGCCGTGGGGCTGCGCTATATACGGAGAGATCTATAGCCCCTTTTGACTTGCGTGGGTACTAACTACCACTGCCCCGTCGCCGTCGCCGTCGTCATCGCAACTCGCAGCGGCGGCAGCCCACGAAGAAGATTCTTGCGCCTTCACACGGCCGGGGGAGGAGGAGAGGGAGAGAGGGAGTACAGATGCAAACGCTTTGGAGGAGGCCGAATTAATGGAGGCGCGAGCGCGGTGGATAAGAACTGTTGCTGTCGCTGGGATTAAAATCTGCCGTGCTGGTGGCGACCCCCACCGTACCCTACCCCCGACCGGCCGAGGCGCATCGGACCGGACGACCGCGCGGGCTGGTGCATCTGGGCCGTCCGTCTTTTAAATTACTTCGCTCGCTAGCAGATGGGGCGGGCGGATGGTTTGGCGTGCGTGGACTTGGAATTCGGCGACTTCCAGTTCGCGCGGGCATCTCTGATCGGGGGGAGATCGATCGATCGAGCCCGTGCGCATTCGGCAACGTCATACACCGCCGCATGTATACGTCCCGTAAACGCAGAATCCGTGTACGCCTTTACCCTTTTCTAGACGCGATGCATGCATCTCTCGCTCCTTTTTGAACAGAAAAATAAGGGTCTAGAAGGAGCAAGAACTGCGGTAGTCCTACGATCGAGGAGAAAAAAGGCTAATACTAAATCAGCGGACACTTATCTACTAAATCAGCAACACTTATTTAGGGATCGAGAAAGTAACGATTATTGTTGTCTTTGAGATAAGATCCTCCTTGGGTGTTTCTTCCAAAAAATAAAATGCAGTAGACATAGAGCAGTGACGATAAGTAGTTTATACTATTACCCATATTCTTTCCGTTTCAAAATAGATGACTCAACTTTGTACTAAAGTTAGTACAGAGTTGAGTCATCTATTTTGAAACGGAGGGAGTAGAAACAAAGGAAATGCATACCAGTCACTGACTTTTACAAGGAGAATCCTAAAACAGGATGAAATGGGCAAATCAGGTCGAAAGTGGCCCCATCGCGGATCCTCGTTGGAGATGAGATCACTTAGAACAGTGAGACCACCACGCTGCGCCTCTAGTTGTAGGCACTTCGGAAGTACAGGTCATGGACTCTCGACGGAAGCTGAACCGCCTCCTATTTGGTTTCCACTCAAAGAGGGAGAAGAAGGGTTGCCCTTCAGCCAGAAGAGTCAATTCCGGGCCACTGAAGATCGGCAAACAACCACTTCTGCTAGCGTCGTAGATCCACCACAAACACCATTAATGACGAGTTATATCTAGATATGCAAAATCCATGGCCGCTCCACCTCCAATTGCCAACCTCATAGAAAGTAGAGGTCATGGACTCTGGACAGAAGCCGAACCACCTCATATTTGGTTTCTAGACCCGGAGGAAGAAGAAGGGTTGTCCTTCAATCCGAAGAGTCAATGTAGTACCAATGAAGAATGGCAAACAACCGCTTCCGCTAGTGCGGTAGCTCCACCACAAACACCATTGCCGATGAGCTCTATCTCGATATGCAAAATCCAGCTCCCTTCTATTGGGTAAATTTGTCTCCTGATTTTCCTCTGACCTAATCGTCACACCAAGGTACCCTTTCGAGGGATTTGCCAGAATTAGTTCTGACAAACGTTCATAGATTTGATCATTTGGTGATACACATGCCAAGGATGTGCACTGATACGTCTCCAACGTATCTATAATTTTTTATTGCTCCATGCTACTTTATCTACTGTTTTAGGCAATATTGGGCTTTATTATCCACTTTTATATTATTTTTGCGACTAACCTATTAACCGGAGGCCCAACCCAGATTTGCTGTTTTATGCCTATTTCAGTGTTTCGAGGAAAAGGAATATCAGACGGAGTCAAAACGGAACGAAATCAACTGGAGAAGTTATTTTTGGAAGGAAAGCAATCCAGGGAACTTGGAGTGCACGTCAGGGGAGATACGGGCTGCCCACGAGGGTGGGTGGGTGCGGGCGCGCCCCCCTACCTCGTGGGGCCCCCGTAGCTCCTCCGACGTACCCCTCGCATCCATATATACCTACGTACCCTAAAACTTCCAGAACAGAAGATAGATCGGGAGTTCCGCCGCCGCAAGCCTCTGTAGCCACCAAAAACCAATCGGGACCCTGTTCCGGCACCCTGCCGGTGGGGGATCCCATCATCGGAGGTCATCTTCATCATCCCGGCGCTATCCATGACGAGGAGGGAGTAGTTCACCCTCGGGGCTGAGGGTATGTACCAGTAGCTATGTGTTTGATCTCTCTCTCTCTCTCTCGTGCTCTCTCTCGTGTTCTCTCTATGGCACGATCTTGGTGTATCACGAGCTTTGCTATTATAGTTGGATCTTATGATGTTTCTTCCCCTCTACTCTCTTGTGATGAATTGAGTTTCCCTCTTGAAGTTATCTTATTGGATTGAGTCTTTATTTGAGAACACTTGATGTATGTCTTGCCGTGTTTATCTGTGGTGACAATGGGATATCACGTGCCACTTGATGTATGTTTTGGTGACCAATTTGCGGGTTCCGCCCATGAACCTATGCATAGGGGTTGGCACACGTTTTCTTGACTCTCTGGTAGAGACTTTGGGCACTCTTTGAAGTACTTTGTGTTGGTTGGATGAATCTGAGATTGTGTGATGCATATCGTATAATCATGCCCACGGATACTTGAGGTGACAATGGAGTATCTAGGTGACATTAGGGTTTTGGTTGATCTGTGTCTTAAGGTGTTATTCTAGTACGAACTCTTTAATAGATCGATCCGAAAGAATAACTTTGAGGTGGTTTCGTACCCTACCATAATCTCTTCGTGTGTTCTTCGCTATTAGTGCCTTTGGAGTGACTCTTTGTTGCATGTTTAGGGATTGTTATATGATCTATCTATGTTATTATTGTTGAGAGAACTTGCACTAGTGAAAGTATGAACCCTAGGCCTTGTTTCCTATCATTGCAATACCGTTTACGCTCACTTTTACCGCTTGTTACCTTGCTGTTTTTATTATTTCAGATTACAAAAACCTATATCTACTATCTATATTGCACTTGTATCTTCATCTCTTCGCCGAACTAGTGCACCTATACAATTTACCATTGTATTGGGTGTGTTGGGGACACAAGAGACTTTTTGTTATTTGGTTGCAGGGTTGCTTGAGAGAGACCATCTTCATCCTACGCCTCCTACGGATTGATAAACCTTAGGTCATCCACTTAAGGGAAATTTGCTACTGTCCTACAAACCTATGCACTTGCAGGCCCAACAACGTCTACAAGAAGAAGGTTGTGTAGTAGGCATCATGCACGCGACTAGATACCTCCACTTTGAGCATGAATGCGATGGAATGATTTAGATTCTAGTTTCCTATTCTCATGGTGTATGGATACCTTTCCATGCATCTTTGTCTTCTTCAGAAAGGGTGGCGACAACACGCAATATCTGCAGCTTGGTAGTGCTCTTCGAGCATCCGATATCGAGCCCCAGGGTGAAAACTTTAGGTCCGACCTTCAACTTCTGCACCCGACAATGGCAGTGTTTCACACACCCGTGTCTTTGTTGAAGGCACTGCTTTAGAGTTTGCTTGGACGTGCTCTTCAAAATGAAAACCCAATATCTGACAATGCAGTTCCTGGATCCTGCGACGGTGGCGCTTGAGTGTGTCGTTACCTTTCGGAAGGCATTGTTTTCATAGAAACTTTCCCGTAGTTTGTGTATCATCAAAGGCAACGAATGACATTTTGTTGGTCTATTGTAAATTGTTGGCTGCGCCGACTTCTATTATTTATTTTTCATCTTGTTCTTATCTTTTTGGACTGTATGCAAGTATGCAAGCTCGATGCCTCGACTAGATCCTGATTTTGTGTCACCCTTTATCGGAGAAAATGTCCCTTAAGACTTAAGAGAGGGCTCATTACTCTACCGGCTTTATACCGGTTGGCGATGCCATCAGCGAAGAAAGAGGCGTGACTCGGCGCGACAACAATTGTGACTCTCAACGGGAAGGGTTAAACGCGAACTGAGCCTAGCCCAGATGGTTAGCTTCTTTGTGGTGGAACCAGCCCACAGGTTCAAGTCCTAGACTTGATGCCGATGCTCATATTTTTCTAGATTTATTTCGGTCTTTCCGGCGATGTTCGTTCAGAGGAAGGAATGTTTCCGTCGAATACGGAGACGCCTATGGTGGCTTCGTCAATCTTAAAATGATGTGTCGGCTATCCATCGGAAATGCTCATAGAAAAAAAGTGTGCGTACGTGCTCATAGAGAAAAGGTGTGCATATTTGCGTTCGTGAAGTGAGTGTATATGTGTATGTATGAATGTCTACGTCCGTACTGCTTTTTTAAGGAAGGGTTAAACTGTTCAGTTTAGGCAAATCGACTATGGATATCGGTCTATCGAAGCGTTCCCTACCCTAGCCGCCACCACGGGCGAGACGACTAGGGAGGCAATCTTTTTCCACCGAACTCCATCGGCGAGGGCGTTGGCCCCCTCTCTCTCCGGTTGCTGCTCCGGCGACAGGAGGGAAGGGGGACCCCGTTCCTCCGCTCTGTAGTTAGGATTTGGATTTGTAGGTCATGGTGCGTCGTTGGGGTGGTGGGAGCGGCGCCCAGACGAATAAATCTGCCTCAACTCCTCTTCCACACCGGCGGTGTCCTTCATGGCGGCGGCTCGGAGTTGGTGGCATTGTGTATTTGTCGATCCTTCAGATCGGCGATGTTAGGGTTCATGGATGGTGTCGGCGAGGCGGCGACGACGACTCCATCAGGTGTGTCTCTCCTTCTGCTCTATCCCCGTTGCTGCGATGTTGTCTCCGATGTCATGGTGGAGCAGGGAGGTTTTGTCGTCCAGGAATACGTGCAAGCGCTTGTCTACGCAAGTGACAGCTGAAAGATGGTGCATCTTGTGTTGGGTTTGTGGT